CCATGAACCTCCAAGTAAAGCCCTAAAGCCTAGACCCTAAACCTATAGACCCTAAAGTAATTCTCTAGACACCTATAAGCCCCGAAACTCTGGCTGTTGCTAAGGTACTTTGGGTATCTTCGGGTGCGTGGGTGGCTTGGATCTGCTGAGGACGAAGATGCCCGGCTCTAACCAAACGACAAATCCCCAAATAAACCCTAAATCCTAAACCCTAAAACTTAAACCCTAAACCCTAGACCCTTAACCCTAAACCCTAAACCCTGAACCCTGAAGCAGGTGTTGGGGTCTCAACAAGTGTACGGCTTCTGCATCTTATACGGCCTGGAAAACAAGACACAGGAGACTCGGCAAAACTACGGGCAACTGACAGTTCAACGAAGCAAGAGCCTGAAGTTCATACTTCCAAGTGGATAACAACAACTGTCATACGAATGTTGAGACAACGCGCCTGCAAACATCACAGAAATAAGCGGGTAAGTGGGGGTTTCCGAAAATAGGGGACCCTGATATAGTACCCTAAAAAGTGGGATCCTTATTATAAGGACCCCAAAATAAGGTACCCCCCAGTTTTCGAAAACTCCCATATCCTAAACCCTAAACCTTAAACCCAAAATCCAAAACCCTAAACCCTAAAACCAAATCAACTCCCAAGTGGCGGTGACCACCACATCTTTCATGCCCCGCGTGCGTGGAGCCGGCAGGTCCTGAAGTGCACTTTCGGGACTGGCGGGATTGGATGCAGGACCCTAGGGTTTAGGGTTTAGGGTTTAGGGTTTAGGGTTCAGGGTTTAGGGTTTAGGGTTTAGGGTTCAGGGTTCAGGGCTTAGGGTTTAGGGTTTAGGGTTTCACAATCACCGCCATCGTCATCATCATCATCGTCATTCTCCGCGGCCTCGCCATCATTATCATCATCATCGTCATCATCATAGTCTTCATCATTTTCATCGTCATCAAGAACACCACCTTTGTCATCATTCGGTCAAGCATACCGGTCATGATCATCATCGTAAGAAGCATCTCATCGCACCCATCATCGGTATCGTGAAACCTTAGGCGTTGGCAAAACAGGACGATGCCTACCCGCGACGAGCGCTGAGAGCACGCTGATGACGATGCTTCAGTCAGGAGGGCCGCAGCAGCGAACAATCAAGCTGATAAAACAAGCTAGTTTAGAGGCGACAGAGGTTGAGGTGTTGTGCCTGCCGGGAGCTTTAAGGAAGGTGACAGTGACCGTCACGTCATCAACATTACCATCTGTTTCTTCCTCAAAGCCATGACCACCAGCAGGATAATTTTTGTTTGAAGCAACGCTGTTGTCGAAACCATGACAAGGAAGTTTCTGAAAATTAGGGGTACCTTATTTTGGGGTCCTTATAATAAGGGTCCTACTATTTAGGGTACTATATTAGGGTCCTCTATTTTCGGAAACCCCCACAATGTTCATGACACTGATGGTCGACCCCAAGAAGACAAGCGGCACATATTTCTGCGAGGTCTCGAAAAAAAGCAGAGCCCGGAAGGCATAAAGCGCACACTCACGTATCGCTTATAGACCCCTAAACCCTAAACC